TATATAGTTGGGGAAGGGTCCGGGTCCCCCATCTAGTGCCTGCAGCCGTCCGGCAGCGTGCGTGCTGAGTGTGCGGAGCGGCGCGGAGAAGCTGGGCTCTGTCTGTCTGTCTGTCTGTGTCTCTCTCTCTCCCCGTCTCTCCCCAGGATTTATGGACTTTACTTTCTAGAGGGCGGCGCGGCAAGGATGAGAGCCCAGCTGGTGTGCGTGGTGCTGCTGGCCCTGGCCTCCTGCAGCCTCTGCTCAGGTAAGCCCCCGCCGGCGACCCGCACCGCCCCCTGATGCGGGCTTGGCTCTGTCGCCGACCTCCGATGTGCCCCCGAGCCGGCAGGCACCCAGCCGCTCCCGGAGCCTTCACGGGGACCTAAAGAGACGAGGTGAAGTCGCTTCGAGCTACCGCGGCAATACCTAGCGGGCGCCACGGGGCTGGCCCTGGTGACGGGCTCTGGCCAGCATCCTTTTTATATCACTCCTATAACTTTCTCTCTTCCTAGAAACCATTCCTCCTCGCAGCATCCGTACCGTGGCAGTCAGTGTAGACTAGTCGCTGGAAATACAAAGCATTGTAGACCATCTGCTTGATTTTGTGGACGCTCTTGTGATTAATTGAATACAGTGTATTTCCAAAGTATGATAGAAATTATAATTCTGCAACTCACGGGTAGCTGCCGTAGTCCAAAGCAACATGAATGTATATGCATTTTAGTCACTTTTTAGTGACAGAAATACAATTTTAATATTTGGGGAAAATTGCTAGCAACTGGTCTGAAATTACGACAAAAATTGCTTAATCAGATGCAGATCACACAACAGGAATGTTCAAATAAGTGCATTTCTACTCCAAGAGCAGTTGCTTTAGAAACTTAGAAAACGAGGACCATATATTAAGCTAAATTACCTGTTCCTCTGGAAAATGAGATAGCTAAGTGTGTGTCATTTATACCCTAAGTTTATGACAAAATATAGGTGTGGTGGCAATTAAACACGTGTACTCACACAGACACAAAGCAAAATAGGCTTCAAAATCCAATCTTAACTAACTTGCAAATTAATCTTTAACTCCGCAAAATTTAAAAGTCTAAATTTTCAAGTATCTTCCTTTTTTTTTAATTCAGGAGGACTCAGAATTCCCGATTCTCACTTTAGATGAAAGTTTTCAATCTGTATTCCCCTGCAGAAGAAAAAATTAACACACGTATTACCTGCATTTTCTCACAATTTAAACATAGTCATTCTGTATATCACAGACAACTGGTGATCTTAGTGACAAGGCTTAACATTTATTATTTTCTCCTCATATATTTAAAAATTTTTAAACAAATACTTTACTAGTATTTTCAGTGAAGCAGTTTCAAATTCAGCTGTTTGTAGAGACTGAATGAAAGCCTGAAGTAAAAAAAAATCAGTGGAAATTAAAGCAAGCTGATAAAAAAGCCTAAACCAAAACAAACAAGCAAACAACCAAGAAATTAATTTCTATGTGTAACTGACATGATGGTTTATTTGCTTGGAAAATTTGAACTTATATTTATAAGTGAGAAATGGCATAGAGGAATTTGTGTGGAGGGGCCAAATAAGTTTTAACTAATGTAGACAATTATGAGTCGGGGCTGTTCAGTCTGGAGAAGAGAAGGCTCCAAGGTGATCTTATTGTGGCTTTCCAGTATCTTAGGGGGGCCTACCAGAAAGCTGGGGAGGGACTTTTTAGGGTATCGAGTAACAACAGGAGTAGGGGGAATGGGGCAAAGCTGGAAGTGGGCAGATTCAGGCTGGATGTGAGGAAGAAGTTCTTCACCATGAGAGTGGTGAGACCCTGGAATGGGTTGCCCAGGGAGGTGGTTGAGGCCCCATCCCTGGGGGTCTTTAAGGCCAGGCTGGATGAAGCTCTGGGCAGCCTGATCTAGTAGGAGGTGTCCCTGCTCATGGCAGAGGGGTTGGAACTGGGTGATCCTTGTGGTCCCTTCCAACCCTGACAGATTCTGATCTGTTTTGGCAGAGGACTTTAGAGCCCTAATGGCTCAATGGTTGGACTTGATGATCTTGAAGGTCCCTTCCAACCTAAAGGATTCTATGATTCTATAAAGAAAAATATTCATTTTAATTTTCGTTTGAAAATGTTTGCCCTTAGGGGACAGTTTGTACCTGTAGAATATAACTGTTCTTATAGAATGTGTGTATATCAATGGAAAATTTATTCCCAATAAGAAGTTAACCACGGACATCAAACTGTGTGAATTTTCCTCTGATTTGAACAATAATGTGCAATCAGACATTATACATTGCTCTCTGAGAGTCTGGTCTTTTTATGCTTTTACTCTTCATCTGTCTCTTTCACTCTTGAATTACCTGGATATGCTCCCTTCTCCACCTCCAAGCCTTGCTTTATTCTTCACTTAAGATATCTTGAACAGCCTCCTAAATAATGTCTTCCAGACTGATTTTCTCAGTCAAAATGTTTCTTAATACTTACCTATCTTCCAGATCTTTAGCTTTTTTCCAGCCTTGATGGTGTAGAAGCTATCTTCCACCATGTACAGAATATAAGCCCCAGGTGCTAACCAGACACAGATCCTTTCAGTGTCCTCAGCTGGTATGACCCAGGACATCACAAGCCATGTTGCTGTCACTCATGTGCCACTCATCCATTCACAGGAGCTGGTGCTGTCATTAGCTGAAATTCAGATGAGGTGATCTTGTGCTGCCAGCAGAACTTTGGCTAAGGGTAAAGTGGTAAAGAGATTAGCTAACATTGATAAACAGTTGTGCTGAAAGGGCTGAAAGGCATTAGGTTGGCCATTTGTTGCTGGTGACTTGCTGTAGTGCTAATCTACAAACTACTGTTTTAAAATATTTTCAATAGCACCTTCCATGGAAAAAGTAAAAATGAATGAATGTAGTGTGCTGGTAATGCAAAGGTGAACAGGAGCATCACCACAGAGGAAGGCTGGCATAACACATGGAAATTTTGGACGACCTGAATAACAAAAGCAAGAAGCAGTACAACAGTACGAAATGCAACAGCTTAGGAGATAAGAGAAGTTCCCATTAATAGCTCCTTTTAACAGAACCACAACTGTTGGAAATGTCTGAGGAGATAAAAGGCTTGTTCATACTATCTGATCTCTTTTTTTTTTATGAGATGCTGAAGTTTTCCAGACATAAAAGACAAACAAAGTAAAAAAAAAAAACGTGTAAGAGAGCTACTTCCTATAGCTAGTGGTAAGCATTAAGGTAGTTAAGTACTGAGGCTTCTGATCCAATCTGTACTATGCTGTGCTGTCCTGAAATCACATCAGGCAGAGAGGAGAGCCACTCTGGTGAGCTGGGCGATACAAGGCTATTACAAGAGAGGAGAACAGATGAGACTCTTAATAGTTCTGGGCATAGCCTTTCAGTGAAGTATTGATGGCATTTCCAGGAGAAAGGATTATGTCCAAAAGGCACAGTGAATTTAATTTTTTTCTGGTGATCGCTTCGTAAATGCATCCTAAAAATCTAAGCTGGGAAGGGCTGCAATTGCTCTCAAAAAATACATGACTTGGGTAAATATTGTGAATAGAAAGGTACCATTTGTAGTGAAGAAAGTTAGATACAAACAAATAATACATTTGCAATAAGAAATAAATTTGGCTTGAAATTAGAAGGTGAATAACGACTGATAATTTAGAAGAATTCCCCAAAGAAGCAGTACAATGGTGGTAGTGGTGACTTCTTTTCATTAAGATTGAATATTATCAGTTTTTAAGAGCATTATACTGGTTGGCTTCTTGTGCTAGCAGAACTATGACAGGTAAGCATGTATTTGTATAAAAGGTCCCTTATGGTCTCATATTCTGTGAAAGGGAGTGACACAGCATGGTGATGATCCCTGAAATGAAGGCATAGGCAGAAGCTATCCACAGATTCTGTGATAAGGTGTTAAATGACAACAGCATTGATAGTTTTAATGAAAGTAAGATACAGCTTACATGAATATGAAATAGATGTTGGTTTAGTTTGGTTTTAAATATAAGTAAGGATATTGTTTGGTTCTGGACTGCTGGTACCCCAGGAAAACTAAAAGCCATGTGGAATTCCATTTCATCTAAAGACTTAACTGATTGCTGTATATATATCTCATCTTGGAGCTGTGATTTCTACTACATTTTTAAGGCACCATATCTTCCTTATGATTCTGTAGAGCACAAAGCAGAAAAGTTTGTGCCTCTTTTCTCTTTCTGCAGCAGTTTTTACCCTTTTCATCAAGTCTGCTGAGCTATCAAAGGTCAATTAAATCAGCAATGAAAATACTGATTTTCTTTCAGAAAAATTTCTATTGGTACATATGTTACCAAAAGCTTGTATCAAAAACTGGTTAAGCTCAATTCTGTCACATTTAAGAAAAATATTCTTAATTTAACCAAGAATAATCATGATTAATATTGTCAGGTAATCATAACTACTGTTCACCTAAATACTTATCTACTACTTAAACAAATATTATTTGAAAATAAATATAAAAAAAATTCTTCAAAGCAGAAGTGACAAGTAGTGACTGTGAAAATCATACTGATTTTGAACAAAGAATATTGTATCAGTTTTGTTTACTGAAAGGCCTGAATATTATTGGACCTGTCCACAGTGAACTGAGATTAATGAATCATTTCATTCACTTCAGTAACCTTGACCATGCTTTAAAAAGGTAGTGAGTATCCATTTTAGCATAAAGCTGCTGTTACCTAAAGACTCCTCACAGTCCCTCTAGATCACTTTGCTGTGTTTTGTCTGTCTTTGTTTTTGTTTGTGTGTTTGTAGCACACAATTCATTGATATAGCTAAATTCTGTATGCTGAATTAAAATGCCCATGATTTATGATGAAATAAAAACCATATGTTTCTGGTTTATTCCCAGATTCAGAAGAGGAAATGAAAGCGTTAGAAGCAGATTTATTGACTAATATGTACACATCAAAGGTAATTATTTTTCCTCTTTTAGCTGACGGGTAGGGAGCAAATGAATTCTCATTACAAACCCAGAAGTCTTTGCACAAAGTAATAACCTATGGTCTAGACTGAAAAGTTCAGTGCTAGACATTACTTGGGTGCAAGATTTTGTCCAGTTCAAAGGAAATTTAAAGGTGTTGATGTGACACACTAAAAGTGCTCCTCAGTTGTAACATGAGTACTTTCATTAAACTGTCAAAACTATGTTAAGTTCAGAGATGTAAATTTGTATGAGGAAATGTGTTTCCAATAGGATTACACGTGGTGAAAGCTAAATTAACCTTGAGTCAAATCTGTAAGTGTTATTTTTATGAAGAACTTTTCCTATATGCATATAAAATTAAGACAGCCATAAAGCGAAACCTGTTAATACATATGATGATTTTGCTTTAGGAATTTAGTCATAGTCATAGTACAGGAACATGGGGACATGACTGTGAAAGTACTGATTTGATAAATGATGTTTCCTTGACAAGTTGCCAGACTACGTATGATGTATGTTGCTTAATACAAATAGAGAAAAATTTAGGTCCAGTGTCATACTGATAAGGTGAAGCAGCACGTGTTGCACATATGTGTTGAACAGGCTGATAGATTAACATTTTCTCAATGCTTATTTTCCAGGAGTGATCTAAGAAAAATATACATCTAATATTTACTCAACAACATATTAAAGAACAAACCCTGAAACAAGTGCCATGGGCTTAAAGTTGAATGTTTTAATTCTTTGTTCTAATGAAGTTCAAGTGGTGCTTAAATTAAATGGAAAATTGAATGAGAAATTAAAAATTCCCCCTCCCCCCCAAATTTCATAAGCCAATGACTAGTTGAAGGTTAAGGACAAAACATGCCTGGAAGACTTCTGTATTTACTGTGTTTGCTTATATGTGAACTTTTTCACATGTTTATTTGAATAGACTTGAATAAGAAATGAGGCCAGAAAATACATTGTTTTGGTCTGGTCTGGCAGTTCTTAAATTCCCATGTTCTGTACTGGCATGGTAATTAACTATAGATGCCAAGTAGACCTGTTTGCTACTCATTTCTGTAAGATACATGAGGATTTATTAGATAATATTTTCCTGAGACAAATTCAAATATGTTATAGTATGCCCTGGGAGGAAAGCCTGCAGCTACTGGTATTTCTGCTACTGACTTTAGTGCAATTGTGAACCTAGGTTCCACTTCCATCTTTTCCTTCCTCTAAGCACAGAGAACAATTTCAGGTAACAAAAAATGCACAAATATAGTGCACCAGCTCATAATGTAATGATGTTTGCAATAATGCTCTTTTATATTCATTTATGTCATATACTTGCTGTTTAATTTTCTTATGATATACACCGTAAGTCTAGTAATACCTGAAGTTGACAGAAGCAGTAGATGCATGGTGGAGATGTCACTTTAATTCTACATTATACTGCCTTAAATCACCATCTAAAATTCATCAGTTCAATATATACTCTTTCTTGACATCAAAATAAGGCACTAAAAAGTGTAAGTGCTCCTACAGGAGACATGCTACCTATACCATTCATTACTGAAATGACTGTTTTGTTTTGTTTTTTTTTTTTTTTACTGTTCTCTGCTAGCTTTTAACCCTCATTAGAACAAAAGTATAGTTGTGGTATGAAAGACAAATTTGAGGATGATATGTGTAAGAACTGTCTTGTATTGTGCTCGAGATCCGGTTCCAGTTGAGGGCAATTACTGTTAAATTGCATTAAGCATCTTTGACAGTGACTTAATAATAAGCAATAAGAAAAACCCAGACAATTTAAATAGCATCAATATGGAGGGGAAAAAAAAAAAGAAAAAAAAAAAGAAAAAGTGTTTATGAAAGCTCAGATCTAAAAAGGCAGCAAAGTGGTTTATCAGTTGTGGTCCTAGTATTTGTCAGGAAAAATTCTTCCTAAGAAGGCACTTGTGAAGTATAGTGTAAGGACTACAGCTAGGGTTTAAGCACACACCTTTTTTAGCATTCAGTAGTCTATCCAATATTATGGAAAGAGTTACCATATGCTTTTGACTTCACAGACTGCTCTCTAGTGTGAACTGGCCCTTTTCAAACTGCTCTTTAAAGTCAGCTGTAAGCTGAATCACTCTCCACATTCTTAAAGTATGTCCATGCGTATTACAACCTGTCTGCAACATTTAATACGGTTTATCATCTTTCCCTGTTGTTATATATGAAAGAAGATACAGAAATCAAACAAGTTACTAAAATGCTTTATCTGTCTTATAACATAATATCCAAAGAGTAATTTGGAAAATCTGGTAAGGCAAAAAGATTGAGATGATGTTAGTTAAAGAAACAAAAAAAGAAAAATAAGTGTTTCTTTGAGGAAGATATCATTGCTAAAATACTTCACCTTTGAAATCCCCACTCACATTAATTTTCTGAAGTCTTGGACCCTCTGACCTTCTTATTGCTCTAGGATGCCTACTGCTGACTGTATGTTTAGCCTCCTCCTCAGAGACAGACGAGGTTACATGTGCCTAGGAGTTACTGACTTCCTGACTCAGTCATCACATAAAAATTCATTACATTCATAGACATTAGTGTACACCGTGGAAGAACTTCTGCTTTAACAGAATTCAGTACCACGCCTGCTTAAAGACGGATAATTTTTATAATTTCCATGGTTACATTCTGAACAAAATTCAACTGCTATTCTGAAAAGAAATCATAGAGATCCTACATTACTTTGGATTTTACTTGGTTATGAATTTGTTTTCTGTCTGCTTTCACTAGACAAAGATAAGCATGTAAAAAGCAGAGAATTTAACTTTCTTTTTCTAATAAGAATCCCCCAGAATTTAGGAGGTATGCATTATAGCATAAGAAGTATCTTAAATAACTATCAAGGTTATCATTCAACCAGAATTGGAGAAAAAAAAGCTATAATGTAATTATAACTTGGGATTCTCTTTAATCTTTTGTAGGGCAAGCCTGTTGTAAAAGAAGGAAATATTCTGAAGCTCATTTCAGTTTCTTAGATGATTTTAAATTCTCTTTCAAGATATATGAACTGTGGGAAAACATAAATCTGAGTAGTTACCTGAGAAGCCTCTTCAACAATGGAAATGCAAACATTGTATTCATTTCAGCATCATTAACTTTTAAATCCTAATTCATTCTGGAGTCTTTTTTTTAGTTTCTTCAGATTATTCTCAGATATTCTTTAAGTTAAAGCTTCAAAAAAAATTAGTTCCATCGTGACAAATAAAGGTTCCTTGATCTCTTGTGTAGGTGTTTTCCAAAACATGCCTTAAGCAACTGTAGCTGTTATTTCTTAGACCTGTGTGGAAAATACATCACATATTATGAATGCACCTAAACATTTAGGTTATGGTCATCTTAAACTGTGGGTTATTTTGTATTCTTTTCGGATAAACACCTCAGAGATTTCCAATAACCTATGAAACAAAGCTGTGTGATTGTAATGCTTGCTGTAATAGGGGAGTAGAAAAGTAACACGACTGCCCTGTTCAGTGACTGGACGTGACCTGCAGAGCTCCATGTTCAGTCGAAAAAAATACTCCATTCTTGACTGAAGTTCTTCATGTTTTATAGTGTCATTCTATGAGGTGGCAGTAGTGTAAGTCAGAAGCAGGTGTACCCAGGTAAAAATATTTTGAGGTGATATATGCATGGTATTAATGGGAATTAGATCCCCTTAAGAAATGAATGATGTTTGCAGACAGTACTGCAAACAGTTTTTTTCCCTAATCTCATAAGTAGCAGCTAAAACAAATTTCACATAATGAAGTCTGCTATTTAAGTATTTTACTAATACAGAGGAAAGTTCCTTTAAACATGGACATTCATCATGCCACCATAAGCGAGCAACTTTAGCTCTGAAAGATTCTATAAACTATGCAAGATAGTATAACAAAGCTCCTTATCCTCTTCTCTTCTCTTCTCTTCTCTTCTCTTCTCTTCTCTTCTCTTCTCTTCTCTTCTCTTCTCTTCTCTTCTCTTCTCTTCTCTTCTCTTCTCTTCTCTTCTCTCTCTTCTCTTCCCATCCACCATTCTTTTTATAAAACTAGAATGTTAACTTATTCACGTAGCACTGCCCCTAGATTTTACTCCTGGTTGCAATTTAGCTATTGTAGTGCTAGCTCACAATTTTTTTTTTGTGTTTCCAGGAGAGAAGTGCACTGGAAAAGCCTCCCCATGCGTCACGGAAAGCTCCATATTTTTATCTTTCTTAAATATTTTAAAACAGACCAAAGAAGATTTTGAAATTGCAGTGGGCACTTATTTTTTTTTTACAAGTTTAACTTCTATTAATTAAAGTAGACATTCTGCAAAGATGTTATTTTTGTTTTGAACCTGTCACATCTTTTCAGATAATTCAACAGACTAATTAAGGCATCTAGATGGGACAACAGATGAGCTCGAAGTAAAAAATGTAGAATCCATTTCAAGCTTCTGAGTTAGATTTGAGATTTGTTTTCTTTTTATTCTCAAAAACATTTTCCTAAGTCCTGTTAGGAATCTGAGAACATATAGTGATTTTATTAAAGGACTAAATTATTCTCATTTTGAAAGACATGCATATACCATATATTGGAGTACTCCATATATTGGAGTAATGATTATGGACAAAAGGGACATTTTTGTAACTAAGGCTAACAGTGATACTAGCTTTTCTTTTTTTCTTCTTAATTTCTTTTTAGTTTCATTATTCAGAAATAGTAAAGTGTGGTGAATATGTATAAATCTTGCATACAACACTCCTTTGTTAGGAAGGTGGTTTAAAGAAACAACAGATTGTGTGATTACCTAATGTTCAGCTAAGTAAGGACTGCATCCACACTCTTAATGCTGTCAGCATGCAAAAGGCAATGTCTGTGTTAATATCATACTTGCATTTAACTTTGTACATCCAGGAAAAAAATCAACTACATTTCAGTTAGTATGTAAGTGTACTCCTAATGTGCACAGCAAGGAAGCCATTGCCAGTAATAAATAGGAATTTGTTATTTGGCTTTTGACTGGAGATTGCTATGTCACCAGTTCTAGCTTAAAGAAACTAATTTCTGCACTCACCACGAAGAGGAATACAATTTGAAAGAAGTAATTAATAGTGAGAGAACCAAGAAAGTGGCAGAGACATGAAAAGTGCTGAAAGAGGGAGGAATTAGGTTTTTCACTTAGTTTTTTCTATTGATAATCAAAATAGAAGACTCCTGCTATACCTGCTTGGAAAGAACAATACCAGTAGAAAAGTAAAAATTATTTTTTGTATAATTTACAAAAAGGATTTTAAAGTTACATAGTTCCTAAATAATGCAAGATACTGGAGCAAGCAAAATTTGAGACAAACCTTAGTGAAATTTCTCCATTTCTGTCTTTCTGTTACATCTCTGAACAGATCCACTATGGACCACCTAAATACAGTTAGTTGGAGTTTTTCAGTCCAGTGACCAAATCAGAAATACGTTGTTTGCACAGCCCTGTTTCGTCTTTGCTCCATCTTCATCCAAGTCCATAGACCTTCTATTCACATCTGCCAGGTTCATGACTCTCCAGCATCCAGAAGTCTTGGGGCTTACAGATTCCCTAAATTCAGACTCAGCCCCATCAGACAGCTTGCCCTGAAGCAGGGACTCCATTCCTTTTCTCAGGGAATTTTGAAATGGCTGGTGTTTGTTCTGAACTGGGGAGGAGTGTCTAGTTAACCACAGGTATCTACCCTGGATTCCAGTAATGGGCATTTATCCAGTGTGTTTGACTCACTGTCCTGATTTACACCTGTGAATTTATATTATGTTCATTTCCATCTGTGTTTTTGTTTGCATCTGTGCAGAATGACTATGAAATGCTACCATTCTGGTTTGGTAGCAGTTTAGTTTTTCATCTTGTAAATCTACCTGGGGGGTAAGTCTATAGAGACACAGACTTGGTGTGTTTAATAAATGAGTTGTCCTTATTTCAGCACTCTCTAATTATTGCCTAAAAATTGAGCAGCTGAAAAGTACTTCAAACACATAAACCTGTTGCTTCCAAAACATTTGAATGTCACATATTACTCCTAAAAATCAAGACAAAAATTACGTGTTAAATACTGGGTATTTGTATTTTCAGATTAACAGAGCAAAACTTCCTTACTGGAAAATGACCCTGCTAAATGTCTGCAATCTTGTCAACAACATAAACAACCAAGTCGGGGAAACAGTCGAGGTAGATGAAGAGGATCTTGTTTCAGGAAGACAGTTTCCTGCTGCTCTGGATGGCTTCAGCTTGGAAGCAATGTTGACAGTTTATCAGCTCCAAAAAGTTTGCCACAGCAGAGCCTTTCAGCACTGGGAGGTAAAACAACCCATCACAAATACATGCTTCAACTGCTGCTAAACTCTCAGGCTCTTTTTGTAGTATTTTTTTTTTAAATCCATATCCATGTGACCCCTGTCACATTGTCTGAGCTTTCCTTCCCTTTTTTTATATTCTCTAATACCTCTAATATGCCTCTTACTGAAAGAGTTGTGAATTACTGTAGCTTCTGGTGAGCTGAGTGTCTACTTTTTATAATGACCCATAGATAAATGAGAACTATTCTTAGCTACATACTTTCTCCGCTCTTTGTAGCCATTCCAAGGAACCAAACACATGAAAGTGAACTCTATGCCAGAATACAAAATTAATATCTGCTTAATAGATGTGATGTTACTGCAGATTTATTGAGGCATAGCTAAATGTAGGCAGAGTTTTTGAAAACCCTTTCAAGGCCCTAAAGCAAACTAGATTCAAAATGCATGGTCACATGCCTGTGTCTACATGTAGTTTTACCAGATACTCTGGGCTTTTCATCATTGCTAGGAAACCAGTAGCAAGGGAAGGGTAGATTTTCGCTTCCCCACACCTAAAGAGGCCCCTGGAGCTGACACTGTGATTTTAAAAGGATTGCTGCTCTTAAATTGTGATTGTTTCTAGTCCATTTGTCGTATTTACCTTAGTGTAATGGTCATACAGAGGCGCACTGGGCACAATCCACTTCTGTTGTTGTCTATTACACTAAACTATGCTTGCACAGCGAAAAAGGCTATCTTAATGTCACTACCCACTTTCCCGTAAACCAGATGTCCTCAGGTATCGCAGGTTTGTGGTCAATCCAGCTGACTTTTGATCCTCTTTTGTTTGCTGAATCACAGCTTTATATTTGCAGGCTTATTGTCAATCCTTCATATTAGCTGAGATGATCCATACAAAAGACTGCAACATCTCTGAGAACCAGAGTTTTCTGAGGACTCTCTACATCAGTACTTTCGTTGCTGGAAAGGAACTACTGTAGAACTGACTGTATGCAATAGCCCACATAACCTAATCAAAGCTCCTTACTTTGCACTTTCATCACCTCTTGCTGTGGCTGGGAACCATCACTCCTAACAGTACTGCATGTGAAATTAAAAAAAAAAAAAAAAAAAAAATCCTCTCTCAGCTTAGGAACACACTTATGCAGTGCAGAGGTTTATAAGACACAATAAAAGAAGGGATAGAGCCAGAGGGAGAAGGACTGAAGAAGGTTTGAAACAAACAATTTATGTAATGAAATAAGTTCTTGTGATCTTATTCACCCCGGCCTGACTCCAAAGTCTGTTGAAACCATGAGAGTCTTTCCATTCATTTCAAGAGAATTTACATGAGCACTCATTTATTAAGTAATTAAGTGAGTAACTGAGTTTGATTGCTTAGGGAAATACTGAGGTGAGTATAAAAATGTTTTCAGTTTAATGCCTTTTTCAGGCAGAGGGTAGGACTGCACTTGGCCATGGAAGAATGTGACCTGAGAATGGATTAAATCTTCATAGATAAAGCAAGAACAAAAATCTTTAAAAGTTGCAAGTAAAAATCAGAACACAGTTATTTTAGAAAGTTAGATTGAAAAAAATTTGTCTTTCTTACACTTTATTTATTTGTTTATTGCACATTTTGAATCTTTAGCTGTAGAAGTCCAATGAAAATATTGCTCAAAAGCAAAAACGAGCAAGCAGTGGGTGTTTTATGAGAGGTTTAGCCTAAATATGTAATTACAGAGTAAAAATCATTAGGACGTTTTCAGTCAATTCAACTTTTAGACCAAGGAGGACATATCAGCTTTTCTCTCTTGTCAAAACCAATTATTTTATTTCTTTCAGTGGAGCTGAAATATCATTTCTGTAGAATTCAGCTCATCTTAAGCCTGATCTTAGTTTTGGGTTTTCTTTTTTTTTTTCCCTTTTTTTTTTTTTTTTAACCTACAACTATGAAGGTGAAGTTTTCTCTTGGTGGTAGATATTAAAACAGAGTTTTAGAAAAATTTCTAGGAATTTATAATCTTCATTACCAAAAAAAGATGATAACATTGTGTCTCTCCTTGCATCCTACAGTTATTTCAGCAAGATGGTTTTGATCTAGAGAATTCAAGCCAAGACAAGGAAATAATGAAAAGAAAAAATCCCTATATTCTGAAACGGCAGCTACATGTGAACAAAGCTAGAAGACCATACATACTTAAGAGAAGTTCATATTACTGATGCAGCAGAAGAAAACATTGTATATTTAGTTTATAGGTAACTGTGCATTATGGTTATCTTATCTAAATCTGAAATCATACTTGTGTGAAAATATACTATGGAAAACCATCAAGATGATAACATAGCTGTGTCTTTTTTTTGCAACTGCTGTTTCTTGATTGTGATTTTTTCCTACTTGAGATTAATTGGATTAATATATTTGCAAATAAATCTAGTTTCTAAGCATGATGTATTGTAGAAAACTGAGATTTCAACATATTTCCAACACTATTGTAGTCTTTTCCTATTTTATAAAGCACACCAACATACACCAAGTAAACTGATATTGTCAATAAACCCTACTGAGAATCTTATAATTTTTTAATGAAACACCTCAAACATATATATGCTTGCAAATTTTTGTATAATACACTAATCAGAACTGTCACTATATTTTATATATTGGCCAGTTTAATTTATTAGAGATCAGGTTTAAGGAAGGAAGGAAATACTAGCAGCTAACTTAAAATGGTAATTTAAAGAGTCATATTTTAAATAGCTTTTTTGTAAATTAATTTTAAGTTTTTGACTCCTAACTTGCCACTGAAGATTCATAATTTAAGAAAACTGTACATAAATATGACTTTAACAAAGTGTGCTAGTGACAACAAACCCAGATGTGCTTCAGTCTTGTGTCTTCAGTGTCTTACACTGAAATAAGTAAATTTTATTACTGAAATAAGTAATGTGTCTTCACTAAATAAGTAAGATCATTTATGAAATCAGCAAGAGAATTTACAGTGTTTACCTAATCTATCTATGAATGCTCAGGAAAAAAAAATAGTTAAAAAATAAAAGCTGATTCATGCTCCTGCGCTGTCACTGTTAAAGTTAAAATACTAATCAGGGGTTAAAGACAGTCTTGGAAGCTGTTGGAGAGGGGAGCTCCTATCACAGAAAAAGATTGATATTAAGCTGTGAGAAATCAAGTGTACTTGAAACTTAAGATTTTTTCCAGCTCTGTGACTGTGATGTGTATAGGAGACTCAGGTTCTCAATAATCCTGGGTTCCAGTCTGCAGGAAAACAGTCTGAAAGAACTGAGGGTCACAACAGTCAGAGGAATAGTCCAAGACACATGAAGGCCGTAAGCTCAGACCAGGAGGTAAAAAATGGGTCAGACATTGCTTTTTAAAACCTACGTGCTCTCTGTTTGAGATACTTCCTCAAAGCAGTTCTGTTCCAACAAAATGCCAGAATTTTCAGGTCAGATTTTCTGTCAGTTACTACTAAACATACACAAGGATATACATAGAAAAAAGCATATCTGTACCAATGCTTATAGTAATATTGTTACATGGGGAGAGATTTATATTTTCGTTATACTAAAGCTAATTATATTTCTTTTTCTCACTGCAAATGTTATTAATAATTTTATTTATTCAATAGCCACTAAATGTATGCACTCCCAAGATATAGCTGAGCGTACACTAACTACTGTAATCATCACTATGACTTGAATACAGCAAAGCACTTAAGCACATTTGGTCTCAAAGTTTTAAGTGCTTAATGTGCTTAAGGGCTTTTCTTAAATAAGGTTCTAGTAGATTCATACCCTTTATTTTTCATTAAATTGTCATAGAATTAGACTGAAGGCACAGCATGCTGTCAAGTGGCTAAGAAGCATCCCTCTTTTCAAAAATCTACAAGCTCTTTAGTCCTATTACATACATTTTAAATTCTAAATGTCCTGTTGTTCTGAAATAACAAAGCAGAACAGAGTTTGTTCCAAAATCCACTGCTAGCAATAGATGAGTAGAAAAGAAACAAAACTTCAGATCACTTCTCGTAGGGAACATAGAAGAATAAGACAAAAAGAAATAGGTTGGTTTTATACTTTTCTCTTGGGTAAGGTGCTGTGGTTGTCACCTAATAGAGAATGTTAAAATATTTGAAAACAAGAATACCTTTCCATGTCTCATTTTGGAGGTGATTTAGATATTTAGAATGATGGCAGAGGATGTCAAATGATGTTGATTAACTGTTCCACCCTCATGTAGTGCTTCATACTCAAGTGGGATTTACCCTGTGACTGTGGATTTGTTCCTTGCAGTACAGAGTTAACAGATTAGCCAGACTGGCTGGCTGAAAATGGCTTAAAATAAACCATTTCCTTTCAGCACAATGTGAATCCACACACGGCCAGCTACTGTGTGTCACTGGAGCATTCAGTTGTTCCTTACCCTCTGATGGAGGTGTTCAGGGAGCTGTCAGAAGAATGTCATCTAGAGTGACAGGCAGTCCAAACCAGATGAGGAAACAACATCCATAGTTGTAGCATGGTCAGTAAAGACACAAAAGCCAGTCCTGGCATTTCAGCTTATTGGTGAAAAGCAAGTGTAGCAGCTTTAAAATGTTGGAAAACACACTTAAGCCATAGATTAAGCCAGATATACAGAGCTGTTCAAAGATATTTTTATGTTTGAGGGACTCTTGAAATCTTCTCTCACTTCCAGCTGTTGCTACCTCCTGATGACCTCACTGCTGTGCAACTGTAGCCTTCCTTCAGCTCTCCTTTTTGGATGATGGCAGCAGAAAAACAGTCAGGATTATGCATATTTGTTGCTATTTCTCACATTCATTCAATAGGGTCCTGAGAGTACCTGCCTTGGCCCTAGCTGTGCATTGCCTGCAAAATCAAGGCTATATTTGCAGCAGCAGTGGTTGCTGAATGAAGTTCAAGCCAGAGGAGGTCCTCACATTGCGTAAAGATTTGTGAATTTAGACAGCTTTTTCTTTCTTTCTATATTTTTTTTCTTTCTAGCTCATAATTGCCTTAAGTTTAAAATGTTGTTTTGAAGGTCATTAACTCAGATTGCTACCTAGGCTTAAAAAACTGCTTCCTGATATGGACAATTTTGTTTCATAAAGGCAATTACTGAGAGATTTGCTGTTTGTCTCCTCAGAGGAGCACATTTTTCCTACATATTCCATTGCTGATGTTTTTACAAAGTTCATAGTTGAATAATTATACCAATTATTCAGAAGCTTTATGCTTAATTATTTCTCATACTCCTAAGATACTGACTATTGTCATACAGAGCAATTTCAGAAACCTCTCAGTTATTTCTACATGTAATGGTACTTAATTTAATTTTATCTATTTTCAATAGTTATCATCCATAATCCTACAAACGTCCGTACAAGAAAATTAAAACATAAAGGAATAAATAATTTTATTATCTCTGAAGCACATATTTGTTAGTATCTTGTTTAAAAGAAATATTATAAAATAATAGATACTGTTCTCAAGGTTAAATGTGGTGATAAGTCTTCAGCTTTCTTAAGTCTTGCTTGTGGTATATTATAAAATTCGCTATTTTCTATCTTTTCTATTACAAGTCTAAACATTATTCTGTGTTTTAGATCAGAGTTTAATGGCTATGGTGTGAAAAAAGTGGATGAAATGTGGTATTTGCAGATTAAAAAGATTTAATTTTGCGATATATAATTGTGGCTATGCCTCATACCCTACTAACTAACATATAATGGAGACATGATAATTTGGTCTTGGTCTTTATTCTTTTTCCCCAAGATTAGTTATCAGTTTACATTATGCAGTATCAAATTGAGATGCAAGCTGCAACTCTTAATACTGGAGTGTGGGAGGGCAGAAAGAGTAGCAAGTTCTTTTGAAGTTCCTGAGGGTTCCAGGCTGATCACTGATGTTCTCCACGTCCAAAATATTGGGCTGACTGGAGGCAGTCATAAAACAAGAGTTGTAGAGAATCTTCAAAATAAAGTGTGATGAGTTTCCTGACATAGTGAGAGTCAGAACTTGTACCTTGCTATCCAGGGAGCAAAGTGGAAGGAGGGATTGATCTTTGGAAGGGACCTGGGGAATGAGATTTTCCTTGCTACCCAATGCAAACATTCAAAAGTCATGAGTGAGGTTGCAAAAAAATGAAAATAGATAGACAGGTAGACAGACAGACCTAACATTAAAATAAAATAATAAATAGACGTCAAATTATTTTTTATTTTGATAGAGAGCATCTGAATCACATGTTTAAGCTCAACAAGAGGACCTAAAATGTACTTTTTTTATTTTGTTCATTGCTGCAGAAAGCTGACATTCTCATGCACTGTCTTGAATCCAGCAGGTGCCACATTAAGACAGACACAAAAGCACAATGCTGATGATCAGATTTCAAAACGTATCAGATCCAGGATACTTGGAGGGGTCTAACAGACCCAATTATCAGACAATGGACTAGAAAGATATTTGTGATGCCTAATTAGTAAGCAAGATTTGGCTGGCCTAATGTGTCCTCTGAAGTGACAATATGGGGAAACAGCATGAGAAACACCCAGGAATTTTTTTGGAGGTCTCAGTTATTATGAAACATAAAGCCTTCAGGAACTGTTAATTGCCCAGCTAAGATATGCCTTTTCCAAGTAAATGAGCGCATACAACCAGCATTGTCTTGGGAGACTCCTAACAACACCTCATCCAGAGGGAAGAGATGGGATTATACATAACTGGACTTGAATTACCAAGGAATAAAAAGCATTTTCCTGCTGTTTGAAATCCCAGTGGGTCAAGTACCAGTCTGTTCTGGCTCAAAAGTTACAGTGTAGTGTTAGTCTGGAACTATCATCTGTTTTACTCTTGAAGGTCAGTTGTAGGAAACTTTTGCAGGATGTCTTTCTCTTAGGTATACGTAAGTGGCTTCTCAGATAGTCTACACACATTGCTTTCATAAATGACTACCAGAAACCTGAAGACCTCTGTCCAGATGTAGTGTCTAAGCTGCTTAACAAAGTCTTAATGGTATATGGATGAAAAACTGCTGGGTTTCTACATCAGTGAATCTGATCTTGAGGATAGGCTGGAAACACCCTAAAAGTCAATCCTGACATCATTATTGCAGCCTTTTCTGATTTATTACTTCAAAATCCAATCTGCAGAACAGATTTTTCTGATCCAATATTTCAGAAATTAGGATTTCCCCCCCCCCCCCAAAATTTAACTCAAGGTCTAAAATAAATGTGTACAGAAAAAAAGAAGAAAAAAGAAAAAAAGAAAACAGAAAAAAGAAAAAAAAAAAGAAAAAAGAAAGAAAAGAAAAAAACAAAAACAACAAAAAAGCCCTAGTATGTGCTATATTGTGCATTATTTTTGTAAATATTGTCACAGAGCAATATGACTTAAGAATCATTTTTTCTGGAATAAATGGTGTGGTTCCT